GATCACAAGGTCAGGAGTTCGAGAGCAGCCTAGCCAACATGGTGAAACCCCGTCTCTACTAAAAATACAAAAAATTAGCGGGGTATGATGGCAGGCGCCTATAATCCCAGCTACTCAGGAGGCTGAGGCAGGAAAATCGCTTGGACCCAGGAGGCAGAGGTTGCAGTGAGCCAAGACCACACCACTGCACACCAGCCTGGGTGACAGAGCAAGACTCAGTTTCCAAAAAAAAAAAAAAAAAAAAGTTAGCTGAGTGTAATGGCATGTACCTCTACTCCCAGCTGCTCAGGAGGCTGAGGCAGGAGGATCACTTGAGCCCAAGGAGTTTGAGGCTGCAGGGAGCTAGGAGAGGACCACTGCACTCCAGCCTGGGCAACAGAAGGAGACCTTGTCTCCAAAAAAATAATTAAAACAAAAGTCCACGCGTATCTCAAAACCAACAGGCTCAACTCCAAATCTTTCACCTTCTACAACCAACTACCTCCATCCATGTCTTGCTGGATGGGAGCCCATATGGCTCACACAAGAAACTGAGCTATCATTCTAGATTCCCTCTTCCATTCATCTTCCACAGTACTTTTGGTCAGGCAGGCCTATTGAGCCTTCTTACTTCCCTTATTCATCCCCTCTCACTATTCTTACCTCTGTGGACTTAATTCAGTTCTCCTGTTACTCCCATGGATCACTGCATTAGGCTCCTTCCCATTTTCTTCCTGCCTTAAGTTTTGCCCCCTTTCAACACACGCCTCGCAGAGTTTCTTCACTGTTTCCAAAATGTAAATCTTTTCACATCAGGCCGCAGCTTAAAGCCCTTTAGTGACTCCCCATAGCTCAGTGGATGAGATTTGCATTTCCGAATACTTACAGTTCCTGTCCATCTCTGTGGCCTCAACTCTTCCTGCTCCCCTCCAAGCCCCATTTTCTTGACTGGGCAGCACTCCTTGTTCTTCCTATTCCTGTTGTTTCCTGCCTCTAACCCTGTGTGTTTGTACTTCCCATTGCTGGAACACTCTCCTCTTCCTTCCCTTTCCCCACTCCTGATCCTCCAGAGTCTAACGGCCACCTCTCTGGGAAGCCGCCTGAGCTCACCAGACAGGTGCTCCTCTGTGTTTAAACACGACTGTGCATGGCTCTGTTAGAGTACTTCATGCCATGCCATTTTGGCCCCTTTATTCATCTCCCCCCTCATTCACTGGAAATCCCATAAGGGCAGCATCTGTGTCTTGTCTAACTTGGTATGCCTGGCACCTAATGCACTATATCTGACACAGAGATGTTCAATTAATACTGAGTGAAAGCTGGAACGAAGACCATACATTATCTCCTTTCATACTCACAAACTGTGAAGTGGTTATTGTTAGTAGAGAATGTAACCAGGGGGATCATATTAATCTATTCATTTCTTCAACTTTATGGACAAAAGACTTTCAGATGATTGCTGAAAATCAAGAAAAGCTATTAAAAAGCAAACTTGAAAAGGATTACATTCTTGGTGTAGTAATTCTCCCCCTGGATAGGAATGCATACTTAACTAATCAGAAGCACGCAAGTTTTATTCACCAAGACATTAATCATCAAGTAATTTATGACAGTAAAAAAATTGGAAAAAAGATAAATGATTAATTGCCCAGAATTACGGTATATCCATACAATTGAACATTATACTGCCATTAAACAGCACGTTTCCAAAGGATTTTTTAATGATATGTAATAATGCTTATGTTCTTTGTGAAAAAGCTGGATAGAAAACTAGAAAATATGTAAAGGGAAAAAAAAACCCTCACACATAAATGAAGATAAAAGAAAGAAGCATATTAAAACAAACCATTCAGTGATTCTATCTTGAATGCTGATTTTGTTTTTTGTAATTTTTGGTATTTTCCAAATTTTCTACAATAAGCATCTTTACTTTTACAGTCAGAAATAAAATATTTTCAAGTTCAAGATTTTAGCCGTGTTAGTTCTATTTGTGCCGCGAGTTACTCCTTTCCTCCGTTGACGGTGAGTCAGTTTCTCTTTGGGGATGCAGCCCTCCCTATCTCAGGCCACGTGGCTCAGACATGGCCAATTAGCGTACTCCATACGTCTGGCTCCTTCCCCGTGGGCACATGACGCTGGGTCAGTGAGACTCGGTTTCTCCCATAAACTTTTATAGATGTTTATGGGGCAGGAAAGCTCTACTTCCCGGGGGCAATAATGACCTGAAAGCCTAGAGCTGCCCTGAGTATACACAAGGACAGCAAAACAACGCAGGAAAGTACTGCTGAGGATAAAGGTGGAGGAAAGTGTGCGTGCCCTTGTGCACACATACACCCACGCACACTTGCCCTTTAAGGCCTGATAACTTTGAGTCCTTGGATCTAGCAAAGTCTGAAACACTGTCATCCCTGGACTTACCAGTTATCAGAGCCAAAACATTTTAGTTTTCTTTGCTTGCTTAATTTAAGCAGCTTCTAGAAGTCGCCATCGAGAGTCCTTACTAAAAGAATCATGAAAACAATGAAATACATAAAACATAATCCTTGAACAAGCCCAGGACTATCACAAAATACAGTATAGAATTAATATGCGATATAAAACATTTCCATCATTGACAGTGTTCCATTGGACACTGCAGATCTATCATATAGTTTCTTACGTATTACAGCACATACGTTCGTTCATAGTGCTTTATATATTATGCTTCCTTCTTTTATTTAACAGGCGGCAGGGGCGGTAGTGGGGGAGGGTACTATTAAAAACAACTAAGAACTCTAAAGGTACAAGTACTGGAGGCTCTCTGTTGTGGCCAGCATTAACATTTGAATTCCTGGATCGAGGAGATTTGGTGTGTCTCAAGGTTGGGTTGGAAGGTGTTTCAGGGGATGGTTTTTTCTGTAATCAGTACAGAAGGATTTCAGTATTGTTCCAATAAGGCCAAATTGGTGTGTACTGGCTAAACATAAGCTCTGTTAGCAGATATTATAGTTTCTTATTTGAGTATCTATTTTCCCTGCTGGACTGTGAATTCCCCCAGGCAGAGACTTTGTCTTATGCCTACCTTGGTGCTCAAAAAATATTTGCTGAATGAAAAACAGGAATGACAGTCCAACATTGTATAACTCACTATTCAGTTTTTTTTTTTTCCCCCTGATAGAAGATTCTTGCTTAGAATTAAATTGCAATATGGTCTCTTTTCACCCACTCTTTTGAAGATGTTATCCTCTACAATATCAGCTGATGGAAGAAGAAAATTGTAAATTTTCTCTCTCAGGCATAATGTTGATATTTTAGCTCATAGTGATTTTTTTCTCAATACAAAATGGATTTTAGAAATAAATCAAGATCCCAGAAACTTATGATTGCTTTGAGTGGTATCTTTTATCTGTCATCCTAAGAAAAACATGAGATCTGATGGCCCAGAGCACAGACCTTTTGCATTTCAGTTTTCCTACAGCTGCAGGACTCCAACGTTTTGCTGGGAGATTGGGATGTAGGTCCCATACTTGATTATAAGGACTGTGAGGGCAGGGGCCACACCTGCATATCTGTCTATTAATAATAGTACTCCTGCTACCTAGCTCCTCCTTGCTTCACAGCAGACACTAAATAAATGTTTGCCGAGTGAACAAATACATACATTTGAAGAGAGGCAATTATACACATTGATCATTTGATCGTCCTCTAATACTGATAATTTTTAAGTGATTAGCTTTAAAAATCATTTTTCTCACATCAACCTGGGTCCTGTCACCATTAAACAACAGGAGAGATTTCAATATCCAATGAAGTGGGGTAGCTGGACAACTATGAATTTCGGATGATACTTCGGAGAAGAGTCTAGGTGTATCTGTTCTATCCCTTTTTCTGACGGGCATCTGCCATTCATTTTCCATTCTTGAGCTCTCAGGAGGGATATCTTATTAGTTTATCAAAATGCTTAGGGAAAGCTCATCTTTCTTGGAGTGGGTTTTCAAACAAGGGTTTTTCCCTCACTACATTAAGAAACATACCTGCTCTATCCCCCTCACAAAGCTGTTATCCTGAGCATGAAAGAAGAGTCGGTGTGGGGAAGAACTAGTAACCCCTACACTGTCGCTGCTTTCCGTTCAAGGATCCAGCATGAGACCGTGGGTAAAGCACTTTCTGGACAGTGAAATATGGCGTAAAAGAATCGTTGTACTTTTATTTTGCTCCTGGGACCAGCAAGGGCAGTTAAGAGGAACACAGGGATCCCTAGGTCTGGAACTGTTGTCTGATAACAGAGGCAGAGAAATCATTACAGGGGTTGGCAGCGTTGGGGTAGGGGGAGAAATGTGTAAGAAAACCTGGGGTCCCAGAGCAAACTTCGCAACACGCCCCTCCCCACTCCACCGCCCCTGTCTCCACAAAAGTCCGGGTACGGGCTTCTGGGGCGTAGGCCAACCCGACCAATAGGAACTCACTGTGTCCTTACAGGTTAAGAAGCAGGTGGAGAAACTGAGCAGAAACAATTAGCTAAGCCAGGCTCAGCCTTTACCGCGGTGCCAGGCGCTTCTAACAGGCCTGGAGGGTATGTCGGGGCTCAATTTCCTAACGCTCCCCTTCCCATCCCCGTACCTCCACCACCAGCGGCGTCCAGCCTCCTCTCCCTCGAACGAGCCGTAGGGGCGGGGAGCCGACCTTTATTGTCTGGGGAGCACCTGGCAGGTGGCGGGCCGGTGCCCGAATGTGCGCGTGGTGCCCAGCTTCATAAAGCCAGCGGGCAGCACCTCCCTAATCCGGGAACGGCCTCGGACGGGAGGACCACATCCCAGGGGTGGAGAGGTGGAGAGAGAAAGGGGCTCCCGGGTCAAGAGCGGGCGGCGAGGGCGGGCACAGCTCCCCCACCCCGCCCCCGGCATCAGCAAGTCGGAAGAGCAGGGGCCAGACGCCGCCGGGAAGGAGCGAGACCCCGGCGGGCGCGAGGGAGGCGAGGCGAGGAGGGGCGTGGCCGGCGCGCAGGGGGAGGGCGCTGGGAGGAGGGGCTGCGCTCGGCGCTCGCGGCTCCGGGGGCTCGGCTTTGCCGCGCTCGCTGCACTTGGGCGAGAGCTGGAACGCGGACCAGAGCTCGGATCCCAGCGCAGCCACCGCGATGAGAGGCGCTCGCGGCGCCTGGGATTTTCTCTGCTTTCTGCTCCTCCTGCTCCGCGTCCAGACAGGTGGGACACCGCGGCGGGCACCCGGGCCGTGCGACTCCTCGGCGAAACCTGTGCCTGGGAGGGTGGTACACGCCAGGGTGCGTCCGGAGGGGGAGCTGCGGGCCGTTAATACCCTTGCGTTCTAGCCTCCAGAGAGACGCCAAGCGGCCCTCGGACTCTCCGGAGCCCTGCCTTGCTCACCTGCGCGAGGAGACCTCAGTTGCTGGTGGTGGGGTCGCGAAGCTGGGGTTCTTTCGGGAGTGGGGACAGCGAGGGGGTTAGGCGTGAGCGAGGCTGCAGGCTGCATGTGAGTTTGGAGTGGCTTTTGTGCCGACGGTGCGCGGGGGGCGGAGGCGGGCGGCTCGGAGATTCGCACCGAGCGCCTTCTCTCTCCGTGCGAGGCGCGGCCACAGATTCCTTTTGTTAAAAGTTGCGTGTGTGTAACCGGCGCCCAGGACGACCTGCCCGCAGGTTCGCCGCCGCGCGGAGGGCAAAGTTAAAGAGCCCTTTCTCTCCTCTGCGGCTGCTGCCTTCCAACCGCAGGCGCTCTTTGTGCCCAGAGCTGGGGACCTACCCGCTGCCGCCTCTGCTGGCGTCGCCACCCGTGGAGACGAATCGAAGGCTGAGGCTTTTCCCCGCCTCCAGGTTAGGGTTTTGCACGGGAAGCGTGCGGCGTGCGAGTGTGCGGCCGGACCCCCGCGAACCTGGTGGTAGTGGCGACAGGGACAACTCGGGTAGGGCGTGTGGAAAGCAGCCGCTAGGTTGCAGACTTTTTGCTTTCCTACATCCCGTGCTCGCCTCTTTCTGCCGTGGCGCCGTTTCATTCCTGCCAAGCGCCCCGGGGCTGCTGGAGGCTGCGTTTGCCGCCTGCTCCGGGAAGGCAGCGGACAGAGTACTGGGACTCTGCGGTTCCTGACCCCGGCCGTCTAGCGCGCTGGCCAGAGTGCCTGGCCTGCCTGGCGGGCTCTGGAAGCTCCTAGTCCGGCTGTCTGCGACCTGTATTCGCAGGTCCTTATTTTCTTGGGAAATTTTTGAGGTTCGTGACTGCCCGCCTCCCCACCCCCGGGACGTCTAGACTTCAGGGCTGCCTGGGGATGGGGAGGGAGATGGAGTGGAACTTTTTGCAAATCTTAGTTCTTAAAGCTGTAACAAAAATCCAGGTATATTCGCGTGGGAACTTGGCTCTTAGGTGTAGGACTTCCAGGCTGCCGGAGCCTCTCGGTCGGATTCCTGCCTCCCGTTTCCTTGTTTTCTAGGTGTCGCTGGTGCGCGCGAGTGCAGGTTGCCCAGCTAACCCCTGAAGCCCTGTTCTCTCCCAGGTCATTTAGGTTATCCTGATGATGTAAAGGATAGAAAGTGAGTCTGAGCTGGAATCCAGTGCTTGAAAGGAAGCGGCGCAATGAAGGGTTGTGAGACTGTCAACCACCGATCAGTTTCTCTAGAAAGCCTCCAGGCGCAGCCTCCCGCCTCCTCATCTTGTAACCATTGTGAGAGCTTTCCTGTGGGGGTAGAGAGGCCTTGCATCTGGACCCCTGCGCAGCAGGAGGGGTCAGCAGGGGTCACGCGGGAGTCTTCGGATTCCCTGGAGGGTTTGATTACCTGGCTTAAAACGACTCATCTGGTCTTTGTTTTTGTGCCTTGGCCTTTTTAATATCAGTTAAGGTATGTGAACTGGACTCCACTAGGAGACCAGAAAGACTGAGCACATCGAATATCTGCCTTTTTAAAAATTAAATGAATCAGTGGTTTCCTCCTTCCCAGTAGATTTTTGGCAAAGGGAATTTGAAGGTCTGCCTCCTGCGGGGCAGTGTGGTATAACGACCAAGCCTTGCTCTGTCTCCGGGATTCTCCTTTTCTCTGCCATTCCATGGCTGCGTGTCCTTAGGCAGGTTGCTTACATTCTGGGGATCCAGTGTCCTCCAGAAGACAACGGGGCATCTGCATCCCGAAGGATCCTTTGCGTCTAGAATTATCCTCCAATGTTCTAAGTGTAGACTCGGCAGTCTTTTCAACTATGTCTCTGGTCCCTGCCTGCCTCTCTCAAATTCCTCTGCCTCTCCTGCTCACAGGAACCTCATAGTGTATGGATGCATCTGACTGGAGCTGTGGCTTATGCTGCCGGCCCCTCAATTCCCATATATTCCTCTGCATTGCTCTTTGAGGGCTAGGAGGTACCCACTTTGTCCTAACCCTCATTCTTCTCCTCCCCTTCCCCCTACAACAGCGTTACAGCTCCTGTGCCTAACAGGATGAACCTGCAAGGAATAGTGAATCATGCCTTCCCCTCTGGTGCCTGCAGGTGTGAGGCTGGAGTCATTCTCAGCAGCTGGACACAAGGCACTCTAAATTACCCTGCTGGAAATAATAAAATGGTCTTATAAAGAGATCCCAGATAATTCATTTATCCCTATTCTGTTTTTCCCCCCACTCATCCCCATATTTTCTTCCCATGACTCTGTAAATCCTGTATGCTGTGCATTTACAGCATGCTTTCTAATGCATCTTAAATTTCCTATGACGTGTGTGATATATAGTAGTTGCTCTTCAGTTGGAAACGATGTACCAGGCCCGGTGCTTGGGGCTTTACCTGCTATTTCTAGTAGTCTCCATGAGCCCAGGAGGTAGTACTATTATTACCCCCTAATGTTTTGCAGCTGGAGAAACTGGCAAGGATAAACCTCAAATCATCAGTGGTGAAACCTGATGAGATTGGCTTCGTGTGCCCAGCTGTATGTCCATTCCCATTACTCACCAGAATCTGTTGTAAGACTCATTCAAAAATAATGAGTTTTTACTATGTGCCAGGCATTGTTGGAGGTTCTGGGAATGCAGAATGGCCAATGTCACTACCTTCCCAATTTTGGTGAAAAATACTGAGAATTGCATGTCTTATGACAAGGGAGTATTTGTGGAGGGAGGATTCATTAAATTTTAGCTTGGAGAAGGGGCTGTAGGCATTTAACCTGTGGTATGCTGGCTTTAGGTGTTAGCTGTCCCATTCCAGGTAGGGTCTCTGAAATGAAGGTAAGCTGTCTCTAAAATAATGATGCAAACCAATTTAAATCCAAAACGTAAAAATGGTCTTGTGCATAGGTGGGAGAGAACACCCCCAATAATAGCTGATACCATTGGCTATTTACCCTGGATAACACGGTGAGAAATAACGACAATTTACCATCCAGAGCCATTTTTTCTCCCAAAAGAAATTCTCATCAGAAATGTGCCAAGTATTCCGCGGGCTTCCCTTGGAGCACATTTATGTACAGATGTTGTGGTGATGAATTTTGCTGCTGTTGTTGACAGTCCTTCGAAGTTACCCTTAGGGTTTTGACTCATTTCCTCAAGCTTCTTCCAGCTGATTAAAGAAGGACACAAGGAAATGAACCACAGTGCCTCCAGCGGAATTCTCAGAGCTGGACTGCAGTGTGGGGACCCCTTCAGGGTGTAGTGGTCCAGGCTGTGGCAGCATTTTCTCCAGAATGAATTCAGTTGAAGAGTTGGCAGGCTACCATGTGGGAAGTGCTTTCTTTTGCTGCATTAGTGTGTGGTAACTTTTAAAAAGAGGAATTAAATGACATTTGCAGGAATCCAGATATGCAAAATTGCATGTGCAGTTTTGGTAACTTGAATAGATACTGCCATAGCTGTAAGTCCAGAGTGAGCAAGGCCTGGGAGGGAGTTAGCGGAGGTAAAAGTTTGCCTGGAGGGCAAATCCAGTGTAAATCTTTGTTGTACATAGAGAGGACTAGAGTCGAGTCAGCTTGGCCCAGCAGCTCTGATTTCTGACATTTTTTGGACATGATCATACGGCTCATCTTTTGACCTCAGATTCTTAAGTAAAGGGCAGTTGTAATCTGATAGCCGGTGGAGATGTGTCTTGTTTGGCCTACATGGTGCTTTTTAGAAAACATTGAGGTGATATGAAACAATCTAGAGTTTTTATCAAGGTCTCTATTTCTGTCTTCTCTTTAAGAATTGAAGGTCACGGCCTCTGTAGATGGGGCCTTGCTCTTCAGGTTGCAGTAGGCTCTAGGACTTGATCCTGCCAACCCTGAGCGTTTCCCACTGGGCTCTGGTGAATGCAGGAATCCAAATCTGCCCCTGGGACCAGGCAGATGACAAGTAGGAGGAGCACAGTCCAGCCTACCTTGTGTTGGTCTGATGGCTTCATGACTGACAGCTCTGTAGCCTTAGAGCAAAAAATGGAATTAAATGCCACTTGGAGGAATCCAAATATGCAAAATTTCCTGTGCAGTTCTGTTAACTTGAATAGATGCCACAGCTGTAAGTCCACAGTGAGGAAGGCCTGGGAGGGAGTTGGCACAGTAAAAAGTTTTGTTTATTTATTTACTTTTTTTTGGGAGACGGAGTCTTGCTCTGTCACCCAGGCTGGAGTGCAGTGGCGTGATCTTGGCTCACTGCAACCTCCGTCTTCCGGGTTTAAGTGATTCGCCTGCCTCAGTCTCCTGAGGCGCTGGGATTACAGGCACGCTCCATCACACCCGGCTAATTTTTTTGTATTTTTAGTAGAGACGGGGTTTCACCAGGTTAGCCAGGATGGTCTCAATCTCCTGACCTCATGATCCGCCCTCCCAAAGTCCTGGGATTAAAAGTGTGATCCACCTGCTTAACATTTTTGAGTTTTCATTTTCCATCCTAGTTTTGCCACTTAATTAGCTCTGTAACTTTGGGCAAATTTCTTAATCTCTGCCAGTAAATGTGTTGCTACATATAAAACTTTTAGAATGGTGCTTCATAGTACAGGCTCAATATATGTTAGCTATAATTACCATCTGTAAAATGAGAATTATTATTGTCCCTTAAATGGGAGTAATGCCTACTCTGTTAATATGATTGCCCTAAAGATTAGAAAGAGATTTTTGTAAAGGTGCTTGGCACAGGCTAGGGATGGGATAGGCACCTAATAAATGGGTGAATGCCTCAGGTATGGATAGAACTTGACTATTTCTCTATAATTCTTGAGCATGGGTATCAGTAAATAACAAAGTTGACAGTTTTTT